GGACTCACAGGCTGCTCTATGGGCCCACAGAGGACATTCACCGAGGTGGGATTAGAGATTAGTTTTGGGACCAGTGGGGTTTAGGGATGGAGGGCCTGGGGACCCAGAACAAGTCATGTAACCTCTCTCAGCTTTGGGTTCTCTGCGTGGAAAACAAAACTGGCAGCATTCACCTCAGTGAAATGCCCAGGTAAGGAGTAGCCTGCCTCCCTCCATCTTCCATGTCCACCCTCCCCCCCCCAGGCCTCCAGTAGCTGAGGATGCAGGGTCTGATCGTGGCTTCGCCCTCGATCCAGCTCGTCTGATGTATGTCTGGCTACATTACTGAGCTACTCCAAGCCTGTTTCCTTGTTGTAAAATTAGGCTATAAAGCTTGCCACTCAGAGGCGTTGTCGATTGAATTACGTGTCTAACGGTGCACAGAACAGGGTAACAGCTGAAAATGATTGTGTCTGCTCTCATAATCTGTCATTATTATCTTCTTGCTCTTTGTAAATGCTCTCAGAAGAAGATGCGTTAAGCTCATTCCGTTCGGGTGTGAGCAACTGAGTAATTTTCCCTCGATATCTTTGCTGGAGACTCGTAGTTTTCCTGGGGACATGTGTTTACATCAATCTAGCGAAACACAAGTCTAGCAGGGTGGGCAACTGGGTGGTGCCCTCCGTGCTGAATGAAAGCAAATGAGGACTGAACTCCCACAGTCTACCTGGGGCTGGCATGGCCCTGCTCCGACGTGCAGCAGACTCCACTCTCCAGCAGAGGTGAAGGTCAGGGCTCAACTCAAGGAGCTGGATAGCAAAGTCTCCTCAGAAGCGATGGCTTTGAACTCAGAGAATCAGTGAGTGAGTTCGGTTGCTCATTAACAATCTGTCTTGGGGGCCAGAGAGATGGCTCCCTGGTTAAGAGCACCGGCTGCTCTTCCAGAGGACCCGGGTTTGGTCTCCAGCACCCTGTAACTACAGCTCCACGTGCACTCATGTGCACACACACACACACACACACACACACATGTACACCCCTGCACACAATTACAAACAATAGAAAGAAAGCTTCCCTAAGGAATGAGCCTGCATGATGGTCAGCAGGGTGGCTCAGCAAGCAAAGGCGCTGCCGAGGCCCAGAGCCCTCACGGTGGAAGTACAGACTCCCACTGACCCTTCTGATTTCCGCATGTACCACGGTGCACACACACAACCGTGGGTGTCTGCGTGCCCTTAGGGTACAAGGGCTTGCTTTGTAGGCGAGGCTAACCACAAGTCTGCAGTTCCCCTGCCTGCACAGCCCAAGTCCTGGCCTTACCACTGTGTACTACCACACCCAGTGGAAGTCACTTCTGGTCCCCACTTTCTTCCTGTGTAAAGGTTCTTGTGAGAATTAAATGGGTTGATGACACTGGTGAAGCCACCTATGTTGAGTGCTGACCTGTGTCACTAGAATGTCTAGAGAATGAAACGGCATAATCTGGCACATTTATTTATCTTTTTAAAAAAGATTTATTATGTATACAGAGTTCTGTCTGCATGTACACCTGCAGGCCAGAAGAGGGCACCAGATCTCATTATAGATGGTTGTGAGCCACCGTGTGGTTGCTGGGACTTGAACTCAGGACCTCTGGAAGAACAGCCACTGCTCTTAACCTCTGAGCCACCTCTCCAGCCCCTGTGCGTCCCTTTCTTACACCCACATCTTGTATGTGTGTGAGTTTGTGCAGCCTGCTGAGTTTAACCTGAGCCACGTGTGTGAGCATGAGTGCAGAACTGTCTACTGGAGCATAGTGGGCTCGCCGCTGGGTCCACAACTGAAAAACAAACAAACAAACAAACAGATGTGTGCCCTTCTCTCAGAACACGTCAGTAGCCAGTAGTTCTACAGGGAGGATCAGGGCACGGTTGGCCCTTTTCCAGTCTGCCATTGGCCGTTGGCAATGCCAGTCTCGCGCAGACCCACCGCAGGTGGTCCCTGCTGTTGTGAGGTCATGATTGCATTGGCTGCGTCACACTCTTACCCATCCCATTTAATGCCCACAACACCTCTAAGAATTGTGTGCTGTTATTTCTGTTCTATGACCATCTGGTTATGGAGTGCCTATAACCTATAAGTGCCTATAAGTGCTTCAGGATACACTCTGGGGGTGGTTAGATGCTTCATGGTAAAGGTGAGGGAGAGAAGAAGGGAGGGAGGGAGGGAGGAAGATGGAGAAAGGGAGGGAAGGAAAGAGAGAGGAAAAGCGAGGAGAGGGAATCGAGATGGGGGAGTTCTGAGGATGGACATGGGGCATGAGGTGCCCTGCCAGGCTGGGGGAGGGCGGGAGGTAGGGAGCCATGAGGGAACTGGTGCGAGACAGAATCCGTGGCATATCGGGTGCAATGAATAAATTCAATTTGTCAGGACAGGAAGAGCCATTCTAAGGCTTGAAGTAAGGTCACTGCATGGTCTGAGCTGTGATCTATTTATGAATTTATTTGTATTTTACTTCCATTTATATTGTGGACTTAATACATTTAACTATAAAAAAAAATCCAAATGACAAATAAGCACACAAAGGAGAAATAGAATCTCCTCGCCAGCGTGCTACGTAGAGTCTAAATCAGTGAAGCTTTCTGGCAGAGTCAGCTAAAGCGGAACAAATATCTACCCTGTGACCCGGCAGCTCCACTCTCAGGTACATTTCCACAAGACACAGGTGCGAGGTTCCCCCAAGAGCCCTGCACCAAGATGACCACAGCAGCAGCATCCCTCCACGGCCTCCAACTGGACGAGGAGCCAGCAAAAGCCCACCGCTAAGACGGTGTGTAAACAAGTTGTCTCCAGTGACTACCAGCAGCCACGTCCACTGATCTCAGAGGTGGAAGCAAGCAGGAGACAGCAGCCTCTTCTCCCCAGGAAAGACGTGCTCCTTACATAACAGTGAAAACCAGCACAAGTAGCCGCTGCCATTAGGGCCCTGCGTGGCGGCGGCCGCCCCTGTGAAAATCAACTGGCGAGGGGAGATGGCTGGGCTTCTGGAGGTCCTAGCAGTGCTTCTTGCTTGCTTGTTTGTCTAAATCTGTGCTGATTATACAATCTTCTTTAGTTTGTAAAAACTCACCAAGCTCCACACTTACAGTCTGTGCGCTTATTCTTAGATTAAGAAGGTATGAAAAAGAAATGGTCTTGTATACACCGCTTCGAACAATCCCACCCCCCAATTACTCACCATTGGCTTTTTAAGTGCACATCTTCCTGGATTTTTCTGCTCACATGAATAAATATAAAGATGAACTGTTCTCTCTTCTCTTTCTCCCCCCCCTACACACACACACACACACACACACACACACACACACACACACAGAGCTATCTATAGCTTTACAGAAATGGCACCGTGTTTTGCATACTGCCTGCAGCCTGCTTTTTTAACTTAAGAGTATGCTCAGGGAGCCATTCTGTGTCACTGTGGACTGTGTGAGTCTGTTCAGCAGTTACACAGTCTTTCGCTGTGGTGATGTGTCATTTAATTAACCGGTCCTTTCTCCATCGATGGGCAGTTAGGTCCAGTGTCTCATTGATGTGAACAGTTCAGTGGAGGACCCCTTGGTACATAGCTTTGTGTTCTTCTGTGATTGCTTGTGTAGAACAAACTAGTAAGAATGGAACGCCTTGGTCTGAAGCCGTGGTTTACTCAGTTGATGGCTGGTGGGTGGTGGGTTGGATGTGGCTCAGAAGCCATTTTGAGTTCAAGCTTGAGGCAGTCGGGGTGCTTGGCTGTGAAGATGGAGAAGAAGGGAAATGTATGGTACAAGGGACAAAGGCTTTGAAAGCCCTGGGATACAGGGACAGAGAAGCCTGTGTGTTCTTGGGAGGCTCCGAGTCCAGGTGGACACAGATTAGAAGCTTATTGGGAGAAGAAAGCCCCTAGGATGAGTTTTGTTTAGCATGAGTCCAGGGGGCCTGCTTCTCTTCCACGTGGTGATAGAATGCAGTTGCAGTAAACACAGGCTTAGGGACTGTGACCAGAGTGTAGGGCTCATTTGGGTGGGGAGGGGGAAGATACCCCCAAAGATGCATGGATGGTAAGGGCCTAGTGTAGAAGCCAGCAAGGCTGTGAACAGCAAAGGACATGGCCAGAGGCAGGTGGAGATCCAGTAGAATTCACTATCAAAGGTATCAAGGGAAGAGGGAGTCCATAACTCTGGCTCAGTGGATAAAGTGAGTCCCCATGTCTGTTGACTACCACGGGTTTATTCACTAAATCTCCCCCAGCACTCAGCTTTCCTGCCATCCGACACTGGCCATCTGTGTGTCAGCATCACCTCTCAACAGTGAGGTCACAGGGTCAGGGACCATGCCGCTTTAGCTTCATCTTCTAGTCCTAAGTTATTGCTGTTCTTCTCCATTGTCTCCTTCTCCCCTCCCTCAAATAAATTGGAAGGGGGGAGTCTTAGAACCCCGTGGGAGAAAAAGCAAACTGTAGTTTGAGTTTGGGGTGCAGCAAAGATGAATGCCTCGTGAAAGAAATGGGGTATTCAGTTTATCATACATCAGGGTGGCCAGCCTTGAGGGTAGTCGGTTTCACTTTTTGTACCCAGAGTTTACAGAACACAAACTCTGAGCCCCACAATGGTAATTGTGCATAATGGTAACAGCCCTTTGCCTAGTGTCCACACCTCTGGGAAGCCTCCTTCATGCTTAATCTACCATGTGGTGACACTTTTGTCCCCATTGTCTATGTAGGGGATGATTGTCCCTGAATCTATACTGACTGTGTCTACACTTTTCCAACTTCCCTGTTATATAACCCATCCATCTTGGCTTGATGTTTATCAGGATTAGACTGGAAGCTAATATCTTCTGGATTTTGATCTCCCTCACTCCCAGAGGAGGGACATCCTCCTCCTTGGGAATAACAGCCTGAGACAGCATCAGCAAGAGCTGACTGATGGAAGGGCTGGGTAGCTGAGGTCAGATGGTGAGCGTTCTGTGTGTGTTTGGGTACACACCTCGAGTCTTCAGGTAGGAGAATGCAGCATGGCTATGAAAACATCAGCAAGACAGCTCAGGAGGGTAAACTGGGAAGTGTCATGAGGTCACCCTCTCTCTCTAGAGGTGATAGCCACTTCTGAGTAGCATCTACTGTGTGCCAGGCCTGGTGGCAAACATCCCATCATTAACCCCTTCCCACCTCCATGAGCGAGCGGTCTGTCTTTATGGTCATAACCTGGGCCATCTTCCTAAAGAGCCAGGCTCCCTGTGTACTAAATCCAGCTGGCATGAGGCCCAGGAACCTGAGTGTGAGGTTCCTTGAGGGCTACAGGCTGTCACAGGTATAAAATACACGCTGGCTTCCTCAGCTTTAGAGATTGAACTGTTTGTCATGCTTGGCTCTGTGATAGTGACATTGGGCAGAGCACAGGGTTCAGGGATGGGGAGGTCAGAAGCATGTCGACAGGTCAAAGAGTCTGAAGCTTCGGAGAGGGGTTGTTTGTTCCCATGCATGACTGCCCTTGTTTACATGTATTCACGTGCAAAGGGGACATTTGTCCCACTTCTGAATGTTTCTGGATCTGTCCCTGCCTCTGTACCTCATATGAGTGGGGGGAACACAGAAGTGGGAGTGGGGATGGCCGGCTAGAGGGAAGCAGGTTAGAAAAAATGAATGTGGACAGACAGGAACACACTTCCATCGGGGGTGCAGACACTGGGTGACAAGCAGAGAGGTGCACATTGCTGCCTCCTCCGTGGGCCTCCTCCAGGGGGTGGGCGTGGGCTCCTTAAGGATGAACATCTGGTGTACCCAGTTGCCCTCAGCCACACATCAAGCGGTGGCTAGAGACCCACAGAGTCGCACATGGACACCAGATGACACAGATACACACCACCTAGATGCCCTCAGACACACGGACAGCAGCTAGCCCCAGGTGGGAGCACAAACAGACATTTAGACTCCCTGGTTCTCGGTGTGTATATTCATGTGTGTTTCTCTGAGTCCATGGGCAGCTAGGAGACAGGAACATGTGAGCACATACTTTGGCAAACACACACAGCTTTGATAGCTCTCCACGCATGCAGTCGAGCACCCGGAGGAAACAGAGAACAGGCTTTCAGGCAGAGGGGTTGGCTGTGGAGCCGCTGGGCTGACAGGGGTTGGCAGGAGGCCTTCAGGGAGAGAACGTTGTATCACAAGATGGAGGCAAAGGAAAGACCTGTTGGGAAGGGATTCCAAGCACAAAGGCCATTTTTGTCTCATAGTAACCCATTTCACAGATTAACAGATGGAGATCCCTGCACTCTCTAGCCGATGGGAAAGGCGGTCAGGATTTGAGTCCAGCCATGTGCTTTCAAAGCCAGGGGTCTTAGTAGTCGTCGGCGAGGGTGAATCTATTCTCTAGAGAATAGTTGGCAATGCCTGGAGACATTTTGGCTGGCACGGCTGTACTGGGGTGCTAGCAGAGTCTAGTGGTAAGGGCTAGACTGCTAGGAATTCCATAGTGAACAAGACAGCGCCCACACCGTGGCGGGGTGCTACCCACAGAGTTAGTCACTCTGGCATTGACCTTGCAGATCGCCTGAAGAGTATGACTCTTCCTAGTAAGTGCATAAGATGGCTTCTGTAGAGGACACGGGGGCAACTGGAGAAAACTGCAGGGGAGGAAGCGTGTAAATAAAGCCTATTGGTTAACGAAGCTGGAGAGGGTGCTGTGTGCTGGGTGACTGAAGAGCAGCATGTGCCCCAGGGAAAGCGGGCACAGGTGAGCCAGCGGGGTCAAGGACATTGGTGGCCGGGTTAGGGCTGAAGCCTGGCTGCCATCAGCTTCTGAAATGCTAACGAGGCAACGTCTTTTTCTGCCCCTTCTGCTCCCCGTGTCTTTCCTCATCTCTCTTGGCCCCCCGTGATCAACAGCAGACAGCCGGAGGCTGAAGGGAGCCATCCAGAGGAGCACAGAGACAGGACTAGCTGTGGAGATGCCCAGCCGGACACTGCGCCAAGCCAGCCATGAGTCCATCGAGGACAGCATGAACAGCTATGGCTCCGAGGGCAAGTAAGTGTGGTGCCTGCACCTCCCTGCGGACTTCCTGCTCCCAATCTTCTCAGGGTTTGAGACTGAGCGAGCCCCCCAAGAAGCCTGGGTCCTTGGGCTGGTGGGATGTTGCCTGATCCTCCAGTGCAAGCCCTAGGTTTTATGCTTCATCCCGGTTTTACCACTCTGGAGCTGTGTGGCTGTGAACAGGGCACATTCTTGAACCCCAGTTTCTGTATCTGTAAAATAAGGCCATAGCGTCAAACACCCTGGGATCGTGACGGTTAATGTTAGCTGTCGATTGTACAGGGTATCTCCCAGAATCACCTGGGAGACAGGCCTCCAGGCACACCTGTAAGCAATTATTTAGCGCCTGGGCTGCCTGCAAGTGTTAGAGTAGTTGGGTTCACTGAGTTGGGGAGACCCACATGCAAAGCAGGCAGCACCATTCCTTTGGGGGTGGGTCCTAGACTGCATAAAAAAGGAGAAAGCCAAGGCCAGGCTTGGCAGCACATGCCTTGACTCCAGGTGCTTGGGAGGCAGAGACAGGAAGACTTTTTATGAGTTTGAGGCCAGCCTGACCTCTACGGAGTTCCAGGACAGTTGGGACTGTACAGTTAGACCCTGACTGTAAAAAAGAGAGAAAAAGCCAGCTGAGCACTAGGGACCCTATGCTTCTGGACTGTGGGCGTGGCTGACTGCCTGCTGTGGTGGGCAGGACCCTTGAACTGTGAGCTGAAATCAACCCTTCTTACTTAGGTGCCTTGTGTCACAGCATCAGGAGAGACGCAAGCCTAAGGCTCAGATGTTGTGAGGATTAAGCATTTATAATCCATGTAATCCTGAGTTAATATGTATAATGAACACAGGGCAGTGTTTGGCACCTACTGTATACCAGTGTTGGTAGATAACCCGCAGAAAGGGGCCACCGGGGTCCGGTAACACGTTGTTATTGTTTTCTTTCCTTTAGTTTCTTAAATCTCCTTTAGGTTTTAAAAATACATACTAGGGCTTGATCAAGTGTCGAGATGGTCATGCTGAGGTCTGCACCCCAGGAATCTGGGGACATGTCACAAATGCAGAGGGCAAGGCTCTGTGCCCCAGCCACAAAATCAGTGTCTGGGAGGGAGCTTTCCAGCCTTCTGGAGGAACTCCTGTCTAGGTTAGGGGCTTTTCGCCTTCATGGGGCCCTTAGAAAACCAGAGGAAGTCCTGGGGTTTGCCTCCTCTGGTGAGAACACATGCGAGTGTGCCTGCTTCTCCCCCCAAGTCACACAAATCTACTCTTCTCAGATGCCCCTCACACCCATCCGTGAGTTCCTGACTAAGAATCTTAGATTCAGAATAAGTCCATACTCTACAGATAACTCCGAGAGTTTCCTGACCGTGCATTGGGCCACACAGCCACACATCTGGAATTCGGGAATTCTGACTCCCAGCTGGAGCTCATGACCACATTGCCTCACTTTTCCAATTGTCCTCTGAGGCAAGGAAGGGACTTGAGGGTGTCACATTCCCTGTCATTACATGCACTGGAAACTGAGACTTGGGGAAGTTAAGGTCAGTACTATTGGATAAGGCAGGAAACAGAGCGTTGTGTCTTCACAGAGGTTTTGCTGGGTTGCACTGGCTGGGGACTGGGTGCTGACCCCAGCCACTGGGGTGGGATGGGATTCAGCCTCTGCCTCTCAGCTGGGCTTCTGCTGGCTAGAAGCCTTGTCACCCCCCACCCTCACCCCTCTCATAGTGGGCATCTCCAGCCTTATGAATGGCCTGGACTTGGCAGAGCTGCTGTCCCACCCACCTTAAGGGAGACTTTCCTGTAGGAGGGAAGAGAGATGGACAGTGGAAAGGAGTGGAGGAGGAACAGGAGAAGGGGGAGAAGGAGGAGGGGAGTGGAGGAGGGCAATGGCCTGCACTAAGACACTTGGCTAAGGAGCCAAGCTTTGGGGACATTATCTAGGCACCTGGGAGAAATGCCTTCCTTCTCACAGGTGCCAGTCCCATTCAGGCTGCCTGAGGCCTAGTCTTGTCCCTGTCCCTGGCACATTTGGTATCTGTGCTTGGGTCCATCTGTGATCTCTATACCAGAAGACATCATGTTGGCCTCAGGAGATTAAAAGAACCAGGTCCCTTGGAAGCAGCGTGGTGCCCTAGGTGGTAGCAGAAACATCAAAGCTGCCGTCCTGAATCATGGAGGAGAAAAAGCAGGGCTCAGTCCATCATAGCACTCCCACAGGGGAAGCATAGTACGAGAATATCATGAGGAAGACGAGAGGACTGCCTGCTCGTGGGTGGAAAGGGGCTCTGGGCATTGTTTGCTGAATACGTCTACAGGGACCACGGAGTCCAGCTGCGATACACACAGGGTCAAACAGACTCGGCAGGCAGTTGGGCAGCCCTGGCCTGTGGTTCCTGCTTCTTAGTAGCCATGCAGCTTTGGGAAGGGTACCTCCTCCCTGAGCCCAGTTTCTCCATTGTAGAAAGGGGGCAGTAATAGAGGGGGCAGCAGAGAGAACAGTAGTGGGGGTGAGTGGGAAGCACCTAGAACAGTGACCAGCACAAGGCTGGCACTGACGGTGATCACTGCTAGTGTTGTTTATTGTTAATTCAGCCACTGTGAGCTGTGTGTTTTTGTTGTTTGGGGTCAGTTAACTCCCAGGAGATAGGGTGAGCCATCCTAGAGTGTGAGTGAGCGCAGAGCAGGTATTGGCTGTAGTGGCCATTAAAAGTTTGGGGAGGTTGAGCCAAACTGAGGAAAGGTCAAATGTCTGGAAAATACTGGTTCCAGCAGTGGGACCAGAAGATAAGAAATACGTGACTACTTTACATGCCATATGCCAAGTCCGAAACGAGATAGTTGGAAGGGACTTCGAGTTCTTGGTGGCATTGCCACCCTAGAAATACCAATCTCTACAGATCTAGAAGGGATTCAGTCTCGTCGGAGGCCAGCCAGGTGCTGCCAGCTCACCCAGCCCCCTCGGGTGGAAAGGGGACAGAGGACCGTTCAGGCTTGGTCATCTTCTTCTGTTCCTTAGGTATTTGGAGGGTGGTTAGACCCAGCTGCCAGGCTCTAAAACAGGAAGGGGTGTGAGCGCCCTCCCCTCGCCCCACCTCTTGGACTCTTGCCAGCCCAGCAGATGCTCACAGGAAGCCAGCCTCACTTGAGGAGCCGCACAAGGCTGCCGTCCCTGGCACTGCTGGGGTGGGCCGCTGGGCACCCGTTACCAGGCATGGAAAGGCAGAGAGGCCTCCCACATGGGTTTTTGTGTCAACACGTGTAATCAGGCACCTGTAGTATGGCAGATAGCTGGCTGGCCACCATGGAAATTATGCCCTCAGGAGCTTCCACTATAGGGCGCCGGCCCATCAGCCAGAAACAGATACAGAAGGCAGGGATGAAGATGGTGGCCATGATCCCAGCCGGTCTCAAGGTAGAGAAGTTCATGCAACTTAGACCTCTGCCAGTGAATACGCTGTGGGCTCCGGGTGGCAAAATGTCAGTGGGTAGGGGCTCCATCCCTTGCCGTTCAAAGTGTGATTTGAAGTCCAGCAACATCCCCTGAGTGCCTGTGAGAAATACAGAATCTCAGGCCCTGTCCACACCCATTGAGTCAGAATCCGCACGGCACCGAGATCCCCAGCTGGTTTGTATGCACGTTGTCAAGGTGCCCCGGCTAAGTGGCCACAGCAGCCATGTGCGTGCTGTAGAGAGCTTTGTGCAGACACTGGGCCAAGGCTTTGACTTTTGTTGACTCATTTAATCCCCACAACAGCTGGATGGTGGTACGAATGCTAACAGCCCCACTTGCCCAAGGTCACAGGGCAGGGCAGGAGCTGAGCTGGATTTCTGTCCATACATCTGCCCAATTACCCTCGACTCCTCTCATTCAGTTGTCACGCCCACGGATATTTCCGGAGGCAGATGGTTCTGGTGGATTGGTAGGCCGGCAGCCACCAAGGACATGAAGTCCCTCCGTCTTCCTTCTCTCCAGGTCACGTAATATCTTCTGGAGCTTGGAAAGAACTTCCTTTTCTGGAGCCTTTTTCTGCCTCACCCCAAATTGGAGATTTGTTTGTTTAGGATGGAAGGGCTAGAGTGAGAGCAGAGCCATCTCACTCAGACAGAGGGCACAGGCTAGAGTTCAAGGGCCCTAAAGAAAGGGTCCTGCGGATAGTACCCCCCCCCCCGCACACACACCAACACCCATACCTGCACCTACACACACACACACACACACACACACACACACACACACACACTTACGCACACATGCATGCACACACACACACCACACACCCCTCTCCGCATACACCTATACCACATGTACACATCTACACACACCTACCTTAGACACATACACCTATAATACATGTGTGTGCGCGTGCACGCTCACACACACCACACCACACCTCACCACACCACACCCCACACTCCTGCCTCCAGCCATTAAATGCTTTCTGCCTGCCTGCCTTGTTTTGGGTTTTCTCAGAACCAAGAAATTGCCTCAGACCTCACATGTGAATTCAGCTGGAAGGGGTTTACTTGAGACAGGGTTCTGGAAAACAGTGTGAGAGACTGGGCGGGGGAGGCATTTAATGGGTGTGCCTTATGGCGACAGTCTCCCCCATGGGCATCTCAGTCCTGACGGGGAACCTGAAGAGCAGACTCCAGGGTGCCAGGTCGAGGGAATAGAGAAATTCTTTAGGGTCCAGAGAAACATGGGCAGAGGCACACAGGGATGGCCGCAGATAGCTCAGTAGAGTCTACCACACTAAGTGATCAGGACCCCCAACCTCCCAGCCACCCAATCAGAAACCCTGTAGACTACCCCCCTCTCTTTAGTCCTTACCTAACCTTCAGCAATTTGCCCCGTTCTAATTGTCTCCTGAGCCACCCATTGCTCTTGCCTGGATATCAGCAAGTCTCATCTTTGGTCCAGACTCGGTAGTCTGTCGTGCTGCATTTACTTCTGTGACCTCTCCCAGCTTCTCTAGTTCGCCTTCCTGAGCCTTCTACAT